TCTGTCAAATCCTGTACTTATATCTCCCTCCCTCCCTCCCTCATTATAGCTGGAGTTATGGCACTTGTATAGTAGGCACAGTCTCGGCCTCGTTGTTTTTCGGGGTCCAAATTTCACTGGGGGCTCCTTGTACTCACAACGGGGTCCCCGAATTGCTGGCTATATCCTCGCAGTCTGCGTTTCATCGAGACCTAAGCGAGGACAATTAGCTACAGGTTCGAAAACCAGACGTCCTTGGCAACTTTTTATTTTTATTTTTATTTTTTAATCAGATTTATTGTCCTTTTAGGGTCGAAGACCCTATGCTGGACACAACCCTTTTCGCGAGGGGCTTGCTCCCGCTTGTCTATCGTATGTATGTATGTATATCTTTCTCCAACATTGCTAACGCTGGGGTCATAGTATCTTGTGGGTACAGGAACTGTTAAAATAACGTTAGCTACACGGGAATCTTGAAATGAAAAGGATATACTATCATTCCCGGTTATATGCAAAACTTTCAGTAAATCTTTTGTAACTCCTCAACCACATCACATTTTCTTTTGAAAATTTGCCCCATCATGTATTCGTATCTCCTCTACATAGATCTGATTTTTACTGATTTTTAGGATAATGTGGTGTGGTGTCGGAGCAAACCCGATAAAACTCAGGGTCCACCTCTAATCTGCAAAAGTATGGTCACGTCTTGTCACGCCTCGGCACAGTAGCGGCACAGGTGACTTTCACTCTCCGAGCGCAGGCTTGAAACTTTGAACTTCTTGAAGCGTTGTGGATCGCGAAAGGCTCGAAAATGGTGGATACGGCAAATCATTGAGTACCATGGTTCATCTACTACTGACTATGATTGTAGTACTGGTGTTGCTGATAGCCTTCTGGATAAAATTGATGCCCTGCATACCTGTGCTGAGTCTGCACCATATCACCAACTCGGAAATCTGCGCTACTGCGACTCGCCGGTGCAAAGTGAGGGTGCGAAATATGTTGAGGCTGAGGTGCAGGATGCTGCATTGGATAATGTAGGGGTGCATACCCAGGTGGGGGAAATTCGTTTCTCGACATCGAGGGTTGAGGTGCAGGCTGAGGTTGGTATCCGAACGGCTCGCGAACTGGATTTGATGGGGGAATCGCGTCCTGCGGTAATTCCGCAGTGTTATCACCGTTATCGAGACGGCGCCTGCGAGAACGGGTAGGGTTGAATAAACCCTCATACCGTGGATTTGTCTTGAGGTCAGTGTTGCCGTCAAAGTGCTGGAGAATCCGCTGGAACACCTCAGCCTTGAGTCCAGTCTCAGGTAACCGCAAGGCTGCGGCTAAGTCGCGTAGCTCCTCCAGCTTCTTGGTCTTGATTGTGCCGGTGAATGCAGCTTGAGAACGCTCCTGTTCTGCTCGCCGATCTCGCTTTGGAATTTGTGGGCCTTTAAATGAGGTTTCGTAAGGTTCTGTGCACGTCGACGAAGGGTATGGTATGGCACGTTGAACTGGCCAGCTGCAGCTGAGAGGTTTTTAGCCCTCTTCTCTCTAACAGCTTGGATAGCAGCTTTGATGTTGGCCTCGCGAATGGCATCTTTTTCGGCTTTTGTCTGGGCTGCTTGCCTGCGGTGTGGTGCCATTGGAGAGAATGATGCGACTCTGTGAGACTTGACTGCTGCAGAGGATAGATGCCGGATGTGCCGAGGAGGAGATTGAATTACTTACGCATCTCCCCTGTCTGGTGTCACGTTTTTGTACTCGTCGTTGATTCTACCACTGTAGCACCTCAACACAAGAGAGTAACCTTTATCGAGTTGGTGTTCTTACATCCCTATAAGGTGTTCATTATGCCCCGGGTAAAATTTTGCGAATACCTTGGCAGGATCTTTGGGATCTGGGTGATTTGTGTTGGACCAAGGTTGCAAATTATCACTATTTCATCTCTCGCAGCTGCAACATCCAAGAAATTTTTATTCTACTTGTACAAAACATCATTTCTAGGTACTCTGCATACACCTGAATTTTTTCGACACCAGTTGAGCACGATGTTGAAGTGTTATAAAGTTTTGCATATCAGCAACCGTGTACATATTACCGGGAATGATAGTATTACCCCATCCGCAACCAGAGTTAAATCGTTTGAGAAGATGTCTATGGGATCATCCCCACGCACCCAAACCTTGAACCAAACCGATGATATCGAGCACCATACATGGTTCTCTACAATGACCGATGCGTTCAAGGCCGGGTGGCAGCCTGCCATGGAAACGAAGTCTTCTGCTGCACGTTTCGACGGCTCCCGTAATAGACTACGTGCCGTATCTGAGTCACTATTTGGCGAACGATAGGGTTGGTTTTCGAAAATTACAATGGCGATTGCCAGTGATAAGGAAGGATTTTCGATGATGCGTCTTGTAACTTTTCTGCCAAGGTGTCGTAATGCTGCGAGAACGCCGTCTCTGCAAGGCCGTAGGTGATAACCTTAGCGCCGCCGACCTGAGGGCGCAGGTTTGAAGGGAAATTCGCATGTCGGGAACAAGTGAATCCGATGCATGTATATTAGTCATAACGTTTGCATTGATTGCTTGACGGTCAAAGGGAATGCTCTGCAGGAAACACGTGAGTGCTGTATGCAGAGCAACCAGAGGAGCTTCGTGTACTGCCGAAGGCATTTCGATGATCAGAGTGTCGTCGTTGAAGTACGTCAATCTGCGGTATTGGGGTAAGAACTGACGTGACAGAACAACTTTTTAAAACCCACCTTGGTTTTAAACCGAAATTACAAGTCTCGTCGATGAAACGCTCTAATTCTTCGTACTCGACCCGCCGAATCCCAGAAAACTCCTGAGAAGTGATGATGATCAATACTATGCCATACAAGTACATCGGGCGCCTACCTCATATCGTGGTGTCGATCTTGGTTCATGATAAAACGAAGGGCCTTTTGGCATACACGTTGGCCTTAAGGACGAGAAAGTAGAGTCGGGTTACGCAATGCGATAAGCTTGATCGGTACCACATACCTGAGGGCGAAATCCCCGGATTCCCCGCTACAAACTTGACGAAAACTATCGAGGAGATGATTCAACTGATCAGGGGCAATCATATTCTTCTTTTTTCTAGGTTGAGAGTTGGCGGTAGTGGGTCGAGCTGCAGAAGCACCCTTAAGCACCGGAGCTGGAACTAGAATCGAGTCTTTAAGTGCAGTAGCCATGATGAATCGAGTATGAGATCTGAAGGGTCAGGATGCGATGTTTTTAAACAAACAGGAGAGCCTCCGCTACTTACCACTAATATGCTTAGCTAATAGGGTCACTGTCAACGACCGTCACGGTGGAACTATGAGATCATCGATGATCGACGACGATATAGCTGGGTTCAACTTCCCACGGCTACAGTGTTTGATCGAGGACGAGGTTGACATTAACCTCCGAGGAAACCATCCGTATGAGCGAATCTTTAAGGCGTGTTGATAGAAAAAAAGAACTGTCATATAGCAAGTTTCGAACCTGCACAGTTAAAGAGAAACAGATTTTGATTCTGTTGCGATCACTAACCACTTGACTAAGATCAGTTAGAGGAACCTGCAACGAAACCATCCATGAGCGAATGTCAAGATGTGTTCCGAGAGACAAAACTGGTCGCCGGCAGGTTTCAACCTGCGCAGTCCAGGAGAAACAGATTTCGGTTCCGTTGTGGTAATCACTTTGGCCAGGACGCGAGATGAAGCTCCGAAGAATTGTCCACAAGTGAATGTCAAGGCCTAGGTTTGATAAGACATCTGTCAGCAGGTTTTGAATCCGCACCACCCAAGAATTCTAATATGTTCTGGTGCCAGTTGGCTACAACTACTTAAGATAGACCTTGAAGGATCCATCCATGAGTAAATGTTCAAGGCGTGGCAAAAGAGTGTTGAGCAGGTTTTGAAAGTTTGAAGCTGCAATAGATTTCTGTCCAGTCACGCTTATCACTTGGCTAAGGCTGGTGAAGATGGACGTCCGCAGTACGAGTCGAAGAACATCATGCAACAGTAGAATCACATAGAATTAGCAGTCATTTGCCAATGCAAAAGACCAGTTGAGTCGATGAACACAGAACATAGGCGAGTCGAGGACTGGCGCCAGCTAAAAGTTATTAACTCTCACGGGGTCAACTGGGAACGTACAGCCACACAATTATGCCTTGTAAGGTAACAATTCATTCCATCCACCACCGGTGCACAGTGCACCACTGTTATACACCCACACACGCCCTCGAACTTCGGATTTTACTGCTTACTACGCCCAGAAACGATACCTTGTAAGCAGCCTTTCATAGCCTAGCAATCAGGCTACCGGAAGGCATTGGCAGGTGGGTACGATTAGATACTAGTGGCACCACCGTCACGTGTTTCAGATTCTTGCATTTTTCCCTTATCGCTTTGCCAGTGGCCCAGACGTGATATATTGACAATTTGACATCCCTCAGTTGGTCAAATATCAGTGTCACGTTGCCTCACTTAATAACATGATACGAAAGCGCTTCATGCGTGATATATCTTTATACACCTGCCATTTGCCTCCATTAGTTCAATCCACCTGCGGAATGGCAATCGGTAATTAATATTTTGCGAGTCACCGTTGCAACCTTCCACCCTCTTCCATCACATGGCCTTCCAAGAATCCTTGATATGGAAAGCGCAGTCAGTGAGTGAAACTTGTTATTAACTATACAGCTTGGCAGGTTGGCTTGTATTCTAGCGGCAGTATTAATGTACGGAATCCCGAAGGCGCAAAAAGCCAACATTGGGCAGCGTCTACTTTAAGTTATGGTGTCAAGCAGTCTTCTAGATCCGTCGTTTTTTCACCCTGATTTGATCGGCAGTATCGAGCGCTACGTCTTGTTGTTCCTCCACCTCCCCAACCGTCCACGCCGGAACCGGGGAAATGTATGTATAGTTCATCAAGCCGAGGCTGTAATGCAAGCAAGGATAACTGGCAGCCAGACGAATTTGGTCATTGGCAAGGATATTGCGACTTCATTCTCCATATATAAAGGAAGAGACATGATACAGCTCATTATCCGGCAAGTCCTACACATTTTCTACCATCTACAACACTCGTACTCAAATTCTATCAGCGATGTCTGGCGATGACCGTACGTCCTCTGCATGGTTGTTCAACATGCAGGATGTGTCCGCTCATTGACCTCCAGACCCCCGTCAGAGGTTGAACAATGAATTACAGAAGATTTATGGTCCCTCTACAAAAGACCATATCAAGTGGGATATCAATTCGCGAGGCCCTGCCAATGCTTCAACATGGCATGCGAGAGTCTACAGTATGGTTGACCTCTAGTCAAAGATGTGTACCCTAATCAATACGTCATACAGTTAATGATATGGAATACGGCTACGGTGAATCCAACAATAAAAGTGGGGCTCAAGACAAGGCTGCGGCCAAGGCATATGATTCCCTGATGCTTGAAAAGTCCTCTTCAGACATATAGCTACTTCTATTACTCATTCAGTTTCGTTATCATACAGTCGTAATATGGTACTTAGTGCACCTGTCGTGAGTTAATAGATATAGATCCCCTTTCTTCCGTGATACGTTTTTGGCCCGTCGCGCTTCGACGTGCTCTTTTGTGTCAGTAGCCGGTGGTGAGTAGAGGAGACTATCATGCCACTTACATAACTTCCACGTCACTACGAGTTTCGACAAGTCGCTTCATATATCAATTTTATAATAAACATTCCAACGGTGAACTATCGGAATAGTAAACCGGAACATTTAGGGGTAAAGCTATGGCTGGCAAGGTGGCACGTGATGTGACACGCACCGTGTCACCGAACTGTCACAATGGCTTGCCTCATATAGACAGACTGGTCACGAGTCTAGACCGTCTCTATATCGCTCTGCCAGACTTGAATCTTGATATATTGACATCCCTCAGCTGTTCAAATATCAGTATCACGTTGCATCACTTAATACATGATATCAAAGCGCTTCATGCGTGATATATCTTTCTACACCTGCCATTAGCCTCCATTAACTCAATCCACCTGCGGATTGGCAATCGGTAATTAATATTTTGCGAATCACCGTTGCAACCTTCCACCACATGGCTTTCCAAGAACCCTTGATAGGGAAAGCGCGGCCAGTGCGTGAAACTTGTTTTTATCTATACAGCTTGGCAGGTTGGCTTGTTTTCTAACGGCAATGTACGGAATCCCGAAGCCGCAAAAAGCCAACATTGGGCAGCGTCTGCTTATAGTGCCAAACAGTCTTCCAGAACCGTCGTCTTTTCACTCTGATTTGATCGGAAATATCGAGCGCTACGTCTTGCTGACACTTCATTTCCTCCACCTCCCCAACCGTCCACACCGGAACCGGGGAAATGTATGCATAGCTCATCAAGCAGGCGCTGCAAACGCAAGCAAGGATATTGCGATCTCATTCTCCAGATATCAAGGAAGAAACATGATACAGCTCATTATCCGGCAAGTCCTACACATTTTATACCATCTACAACACTCGTACCCAAATTCTATCAGCGATGTCTGGCGATGACCGTACGTCCTCTACTTAGTTGTTCAATATGCAGGATGTGTCCGCTCATTGACCTCCAGACCCCCGTCAGAGGTTGAACAACGAATTACAGAAGATTTATGGTCCCTCTGCACAAGACCATGTCAGGTGGGAGGTCTATTCGCAAGGCCCTCCCAACAATTTAATATGGGATGCGACCGTCTATAGTACGGTTGATTTCTAGGGAGTCAAAGATGTGTACACTAACCGATACGCCATACAGTTGACGATATGAATTACGGCCATGCTGCATCCCCCACCAGAGGTGGTGCTCAAGACGAGGCTGCGGGCCAGGCATATGACTTCCTGAGACGTGAAAGGGCCCGATGAGTTGCGGCAATCAAGCATGATGATTCCGATACACGTGTGCTATCAAATTTTCATCCTCTTCAGACATCTAGCTATTTCTATTACTCATACGGTTTTGTTATCATACAGTCGTAGTATAGCGCTGTCCATACTAGAAGTGTATCTGTTGTGAGTTAATAGATATAGATCCCGTTTCTTCCATACATTTTTGGCTCGTTGTGCTTCGACGTGCCCCTTTGTGCCTGGTGGTGAGTAGAGAAGACCATGATGCGGTGTGGGGTCTACCACACGTCCCGAGCACTGTACTTGTGCTTCCACTTAACTTCCACCTCACTATGAGTCTCGATAAATCGCTTCATATATCAATTTTATAATAGACATTCCAACTATCGGAATGGCCCATCAGTAGACCGGAGCATTTAGGGGTAATTACTGATTAGGCTATGGTTGGCCTGACAGGAAGGCACGTGATGCTACGCGTACCGTGTCACTGAACTGTCACGAGTAAACCTTAGAGGAGAAGCTACGTGTCTCTGTACTAGTCTGATCCATCCAATACTTCGACTCTAAGGATAGCGTAAGTACTAGTTGGTGTTATACAGGTACACCAAATCTTTTATCCCATTTCTGCTACCTGCAATATTCTTCCTCTATCTCAACCGCTCTCCTGTTTCGCATATCTTCTAGCTCAGAGACGCCCGATCCACCTCACAACTTACCTGCCACATACTAAAAATAATGCTCCTCTCAGGCCAACTTGATCTAGCTTATTATTATCTAGGCCGGCAGTCAAATGGAAGCCCGCGTCAAGCGGGAGTCCCGTAGGTGAGCGGGTTTTGATAAGTGCCTCAAATATACCGATCGTCTCAAAATTGCAACACCAGAAGTGTAGCACCATTCATATATCTACGCGAGGGAAATGTTGGCAGGGCCGGGAATCTTTGAACACCGAATCATAACATAACCTGCCAGGCGTCTGTCGTTGCCTTGAGGAATTCTCTCGTCTACTATTGGAAACATGACTCGCACCCAAATTCCAGGGGTAATGTGTAGCAATCTTAATGACCGTATGTCTTCCACTCATTTTTTTAACGTGCAGGATGTACTTCCTCGTTAACCTCCAGACCCTCGCACGAGGTTGAAGAACGCCGCTACTGAGTCACGAATTGCATGATTTATGGTCCCGCTGTACTAGCACGTTTGATTGCCAGAGGTCAAAAATACGCATACTAACCAATACCACCGTGTACAGCTGACAGTCTGAATCACGCTTCGGCCCTCACCAGAAGTGTTACCCAGGACATGGCTGTGCAACGGGTTTATAATCGTTTGAGACAAGGAAGATCTACCCCATCAATAAATAGAAATCAAAGCTGTGCATACCACGTAATACCGTACAAGATGTGTAATTGCTGCCATCCCCACAAACACATGACAGATTTGTGTTGGACTTGCGAGTTACAATGCATGGCGGCCGAGCATGCAGCGAGGTTTTATACATACTCCTACCAACCATGTTAGATGTGTATCACACAGTAGACCCCGATGTTCGATATGTGCTACTAGTACGGTTGTTGTGACAATTGTGCGGTGGTCTTGTGTGGGTAATGAACTCATACACATACTCCTACTGGCCTTGTTACCCCTATTGTACGGTAATTGTAGGCTCCGTTTGACCACGATAATGGGCACATCAAATTGCACTGCTGCAGCTCAGTACACTCGCTATAGCCAATGAGCACAGAAGTGAAGTAAGTAGATATATAGATATGCGAGGGACAAGTACTGGATATAACAGCGACAAGGCGAAGGGCATGACGTGAACCGGCGGAGATAAGAGAAAATGAGAAAATGAAAGCCACACTATACAAAATATTGCGAAACGGCGTTGATGCAGAAGGCTATTAACAGTTAGAACACGAATGAGATATATAAAAAACTTATAGAGTTGAGTGCGCGCGGAGGATGATGCTAGCCGCTTTGATCACATGTCATGATCACATATGGAGTATTTGCAAAAAAATTGACGTTGGGTTTTGAAACCCGAGGCTTCTAATGATTACTAATTTTAAACACCTCATTTCATCCACCACCACCAGAATATTAATTAAGATATGTACCCACACACGCCCACGAACTTCAGATAATGCGTACTACGCGTAAAAACTGATACTTTGTCAGTACCCTTTGATAACAGAATAGCGATCAGGCTACCAGAAAACATTAATAGTCAGGCAGGCACGATTAAGTACTACCACCATGTTTTAGACTCTCGCTCTGCCAGACTTGATATCATTTGACATCCCTCAGTTGTTCAAACGTTCAAATACAAATATGTCATGTTGCCTCGCTTATCAAGGCGCTTCGTGCGTGATGCATTTGTCTACATCTGCCATTAGCTCAATCCACCTGCGGATTGGCAATCGGTAGTTGATAAATTGCGAGAAACCGTTGCAACCTTCCACCACATGGCCTTCCAAGAACCCTTGATAGGGAAAGCGCAGCAAGTGCGTGACTCGGAAACTTGCTTTGATATATCATACAGCTTGGCAGGTTGGACGGTATTCTAGCGCCAATATACGGAATCACGAATGCGCAAAAAGCAACCATTGGGCAGCGTCTGTCTGTGATGCCAAGCAGTCTTCCAGATCGGTCACTTTTTCCCCTGAATATGACCGAGCGTGCGTTTTCATTTTCTCCACCTCCACAACCGTCGTCGCCGGAATCGGGGAGATGTATGAGGCCGCAATGTCCTTGCCAATAATCAAATTCGTCTGGCCGCCCTTGCTTTCGTTTACAGTCACGGCTTGACGAGGTGTGCATACTCTGCATATATAAAGGGGGAGACAGACATGATGTAGCTCATTATCCGGCAAGTCCTACATATTTTCTGTCATCTACAACACTCGTACCCAAATTCCAAGCAGCGATGTCTGACAATTCCCGTACGTCCCCCACTCATTTTTTCGACATGCAGGATGTTCCCTGAGCCATTGACTTCCAGACCCCCGCACGAAGTTGAACAACGAATTGCAGAAGAGGTATGGTCCCTCTGCACTTGAGCATGTCACGTGGGAGGTCTATTCGCAAGGCCCTCCCAACGCTTTAACATGGAATGCGACTGTCTACAGTAAGGTTGATTTCTAAGGTGTCAAAGATGTGTACGCTAACCAATACGTCATGCAGTTGATGATATCAATCATGGTTGCGCTGAAGCCCGCACTAGAGGTGGTGCTCAAGACCAAGCTGCGGAAATGGCATATAATCACCTGAAAAGTGAAAGGTCCCGGTGATGAAGCATGGCTACTCCAATACACATACGCCATCATTTTTATTCCTCTTCAGAGATCTAGCTACTTCTACTACTCATACAGTCGTACAGCATCGTCTATACTAGAAGTGCACCCGTTGTGAGCTAATAGATATAGATCCCCTTTCTTCCATGATATGTTGATGGTCCGTTGTGCTTCGACGTGCTCCTCTGTGTTAGTAGCCCAGAGTACGAACATAAATGCGGTGGTGAGTACTACAGGAGACTATCATGATGTGGCGTGGCGTCTACTACACGTCCCGGCCGAGCATTGGTGTTTATGCTTCCACTTAACTTCTACTTCCCTTCGAGTCTCAACAAATCGCATAATATAACGATTATATATATATGAGACATTCCAACGGTGAACTATCGGAATGACTCATCAGTAGACCGAAGCAGACCGGTAAGGTTATAGTTGGCCTGACAGGAAGGCACGTGATGCGTCGCGTGCATGTCACGGTGTAGCAGCAGACGAGAAGCTACTTCAAGTTGTCCCGCTATAAGTCTGATCAATCTGATGCTCCAAATCCAAGGATAACTCACTAATTGGTGTTACACATGTACACCACGTCTCTTAACCCATCTCCGCTACCGATATTTCCACCCTTATTGCGACGCCCCGCGATTCCGAAGTTCGAAGACACCCGATCCACCTCACAACCTACCGCATACTCAAAACCATGCGCCCCTCGAGCCCGCTTGTTCTAACTTATCGACATCTAGGCCTGCAGCTAAATGGAAGCTTGCACCAAGCCGGAGTCCCATGTGTGATTTGCTTGCGGGGTGAGTAGCCTAAGGTTATGATAGTGCCTCGAAGGCAGATGACACAGTAATACCTTCCAAACCTTGCAGGGAGGAAGATTATCCTAGACTCGACAGAGCCAATGATTAACGGCGGATACATACGGACGACCGTGACGCACCATACATTATTCGCACATCGCGAAGCCCAACTTGAACTTGAAGAGCACGTACTGAATCGTCTCGAGATTGCAACATCAAAATTGCAGCACGATTCGTATGTGGTGTGTGGGAAATATTGACAGGACCGGGCATGTGCATGAACACCGAATCGCACTGACCTGGCGCCTGTCGTGATCGTTGCCTTGAGGAATCCTCTCGTCTAGTTTCCACTGGAAATACTCGTACCCCAAATTCCAGCAGCGATGTCTGACAATGACCGTATGTCTTCCACTCATCTGTTCGACGTGCAGGATGTGTCCACTCATTGACCTCCAGACCCCCGTACGAGGTTGAACAACGAATTTCAGAAGAGGTACGGTCCCTCTGCACCTGAACATGTCAAGTGGGAGGTCTATTCACAAGGCCCTCCCAATGCCACAATGTGGTATGCGACTATCTACAGTGCGTTCGCTTGCTAGAGGAGTCGAGGATGCAGATGCTAACATACTATAAGTTGACGATGTAAATTACGGCCACGCTTCTGCCCCCCACCAGAAGTGCTGCTCAGGACGCGGCTGCACAACAGGCTTATGAAACATTGAAAGGATAAAGATCTACCCGGCGAGGGGACTTACGGACTACCTCAATCAAGCTTAAAGCGTGTCGACTTCAGTACATACATGCCTTCATTTTCGACATCTCCAATGTACTTGGTTCTATTCCTCATACATACATTTTTGCAGCCATTATGCAGTTGTAACACGGCGCTGCAATCCGTGCGAGTAATGCACTGTCGATCGATAGACCGTTTACTTCGACTGCGGGTCAGTAGCGCTAACCAGTGCGATCACTACGGTGATGATGATGCGGCATAAGGGCTATCACACACAAGTATTAAATATTGATGACCTTGACTCAGCTGGCAATCTGATGTGACAATTTATCATAAACTGTAACCATCCATTGAAATGGCAATGTGCAAAAGTGGACGAGTAGCATATACAGATCCCGACAGTCGCACTATATTATTGGTTGTATATAAGAAACGAATGCCCTACGGTAAGCACGATCTGACTCCGAACACAACAATGAAAAGAGGACGATATCCCCACGTCAGTTGGCCATCCATTGACGATCTTTTCTTCGTGATCGAACCGTCGCCCTGCGCTCGCTCTCCTTGGCACGACGCTCCTGCTCTTTGAGATCTATGAACATGTTGCCAACATCAATGAATTTGATTGTTGGGCGTCCAGGACGTTCGACAATATTTCGTCTTTGTCTTGTTCTCAGAGGTAGCAGCGGCTGATTTTGTCGCGGCATCCAAAACGCCTGGCATGATTGGGTCCTAGTAGATAAATTAGTTCACTTGTACATCGAAAGAAATAATCAACAAACCTTGCCCTCGGGCACAGTCTCCCAAAACATCCGCTGGTACCTTTGTCGCGCCCAGTCGAAGCCACCGGCTTCTTCGTCTTCTCGATCGGCCTCCACTGCGTCGTATCTATCGCTATGTATTTTAGCCCCCTGCTGGTGGTATCGTACTGTACGGGCACAGGCTTCGACTCATCAAGGGTGGTAAAAATTCTGGTTTGAGGCACGCCAAGGATACTTTCCATGCCTTGCACAAAACCTGTCTGTATGGGTTTACCCTGCAAGTGTGTGAGCGTTAATGTCACAAGAGGAGCAAACATATAGGTTCAGATAGGGTCGAAATGTGGAACCAGTGCCAGACGATGTAAGGCGTTTGAATTGCACGAATAATAATGTATTTTCAAGGCAAGGGAAATAGTGCTCACATCCTGCACGTCATAATAGAATTTTCGGTGGGGAATCAGTCAACAATTCCACATTGTGAGCAGTTGCAATTTACCTAAGAAAAGTATAAGATTAGTCAGTATATTTGAATATTAAGCGGCCAGTAGAAGGAAGATGCAGATCAGTAAGGTGCGTAGATTTAACCATGTATGTGTCTATAAGACTAATCGAATTCACGTTGCTCATCACGTTCTTGAGAAAGGAAAGAAAATAACGAGTTCTCACCTTTTTCCACGATTCTTCTAAACCTTTCAATCGTAGAATGCATCGATACGTTTGATACTGAGGTGGTGTCTGGCAGCCAGAGCACGCACCGAATTAGCCTCGGGATCAGCCATATAAGCAAAATAGATTTGAGTGCGTAAAGCATCCGAGACAGGTGGAGGGGGACGGAATGATTCGTTAAGAGGAAAAGGATGAAAAGTAGTGAGCATAATCATCATTGTGGTACTATCCTGAGCATACCGTTCCAGGGCTGAGCCAATTTCGTGGGGCGGGATCACGGTACTTGCGACCGGCACCTGCTATCCAAGTTCTCATATGAAGGAGTTTGTGGGGTTTCGGCATCGTTTGGTAGATTGAGGCCCTCTAGGATAGCTTCCCCAGGGCATCATCTTCCTCGTCTGCCTCAAAAAATTCATCCTTTCTTGCGACGAAAGACTGGAAAGAATGTTCTACGTGGACATCTGTGAGCAGATGGTAAACGCAAGGTGCGCTGAGATGTATGAAGCTGATATACGCAAACGAGTGAACATTTGGGCGCAGAACGCGCAAAATTTGAGGCATTTCTGGTCGGCATCACGTGAAACACTCTAGGGCAGGCCTCTGATAGTGATGTGCAGCCTGCTTGATGGGCATTATTGAAGATGACCATGACATTCACCAACGATGTATTGCTATGGAAATAACAACGAGCTATTAGCTTTACTGAAGGGATATTTCTGCATTGATTCCTCCACTTCACCTTAAATTTCCTGTTTCAATATTCATTTACTGAGGTACACACTTTTCTTTTACACCAGGTTTTGCTCGCTCCCGCACCCTGGAGCAGTATCCACCCTCCGGGAGATACCAGCGATCATTTTGGAAGTGGTCAATTGAACACCTGGAACGAATGGACAAAGACGAAGAGGTCAAGCTACGCTACAGTCCCACGCGCAAGGCAACTCATTCACAATTACACATAAAGGACGGCGAGATCGACACACGAATTTATGACCGTTATTTGTCCCTTATGTCGGGTTCGACGTAGGTTTATTTGCCATGAGAAGGTACTTCTAATCATCTCCATTTTGTGTCCCTCACTGCACAGCGATCCTAGTGGTCCCCCCACCGGACTCGTACATGACATATTACTGGAAGCCTTTAAGTTCACTTGGTTGTACCGATCGAAGCAGCCACGAAACCATCACACTACTCGAGTCTCGTACCACCATCGAGAGCGGAACGACAGGGCTTAGGACCTGGTGTGCAAGTTTCGTCCTTGCCAGTTATCTCATTGCGAATGCCGGTACGGTAGACACACCGTGCCATTCCTTGACTGGCCTTCATATTTCTTCATGCAACCAGAGACGATTCGTGATCAAACGGTCTTCGAGCTTGGTTGTGGGTCCGGTTTTCTTGGAATTATTGTGGCGACAATACAACAGAAATTTAACGAGCGTCATGAATCACATCGTCAGCCATTGCCTGCAGTACTGTTGACTGATGTAAATGCCGGAGTGCTTTCAAGGTGTCGCGACAATGTCCAACTTCGTTGCAGTGAGTTATCCCAGTTAACGTTCATCCTTGTAGCTCTTCGGGTAAATCAAATTGATGTGCTCTGCCTTGTACCCTTTCAGTCTCATTTTGTATTCTGTCTCGTTTGTCTCGATCAACTCAGACCGTGTTTGCTTTACTGTCGCGTAGATCAGTCATCAAATCACCCAAATATCACCTTCTCCACTCTTGACTGGTTCGATGCCCTTTCCCTGCCATGCAGTGAGAGCATGATGACAGCATTCTATCCAAAGCGAGCGTGGGCGTTGTGATTGGTGCTGATATAGTAAGGCTCAAAATTTGCCGCTTCGTGGTTGTCACTAATCTAGCCAGGTATTTGATCCGATTCTGGTCCCACCTCTGGTCGCCAACATTGCCGCCTTGCACTTTCCTTCGAGAGTGCTCGAATGGCAGTGGTGGCGTTAACAGTCAGAAATGAGCAAACGCTTGCGTATTTTGTGACAGAGGCTGGTGAGCAGTCCTCGACCTTTGTCGTGCGGTGAATATAATATTCAAGTCACCTAGTAAAAGAACTTTGTGTGGAGGAAGTTCCGCACGCTTTCACCTCAGCTACATACTTTGATCTGGATACCGCTGGAGTGGATGCCGGTCTTGATGTGAAGATATTCAAATTCACACTCCACAATTCGGCGTCATAATTAAATGCGCGTTGTATTTCACAGTTGTTTCTACTCAAGAGTTACTCTCGGATAACACTCATTCGACCTTCACTCGCACAGCTAGTCACACAATGTAACGAAGTAGTCTCCTAGGCCACCTAGTGAATTGGCCGGCGACAGACCGACGGCTTTATCACGTCTTAACCCTGATCTCGCTCATTCTCCATCAATTTCGATTGTTCAACTGCATAACATTTTCAAATGACTGATTGTTGTAAATTGGGTTATACATTGAGAGTTTGAGACAGACTTGAGCTAGGTATTTCAAAGTGGCCAAGTGATCTGGAGTAGTGACCAATATGTAGTATGCAGACGTGCAACCAATTACCACTCGCGAGAAGATCGACCTAAGGCAGTGACCGTCAAATCCTTAGTATCTTGAGGCACGATGCTTACCAGTGGTCACCGTACACCGTGGTCCCAGCTGGAATACAATAGTTTTCCTGATGGACTATATCATGATTCGTGCGATAAGCTGTCAAAGATCACTCGCCCAAATCACGTCGTGAATTGTTTCGGTGATGTGAATATTGTGAAATGTAGGCACAAAACCAAACGAAGATTTCATAGCATATATTCTCACGAACGAAGGGCCAACGTCCACGTCCCCCTGCTGCGGAATGGCTCGGACACGGAAGTGAAGATCGAGAAGGGAGTGCACATCCATCCCTTTTCGTAACTTCAAACCACCTGCAAGCAAAAAAAGATCACGCTTACGTTGTCGCATGGTTCTGGACGTTGTACGAATCATCGAGAATGCCGAGAACTGTGTTCTTTGTGCGTGACATCTGCAAGGGGTGATAGGCCTCAACTACTTTAGGCTGTAAACGTGAATGAAGTGTTGTGCATCACGTTGAAAAGTAATATAAACGAGGGAAAGTAATATCGCGGACTACTGACCTACGCATCCGACGGAACCTGTCCTAAAACGGTGAAAAGGCAATAGTCGTTTTGCCGTTATATATTTCTCCGGTAACAATCCTGTAAGGATGGTCAGCTGTGAGTTCTCTATCATAATCATGGCGGCCTGCGACAAAATGTCGAGCCTACGACCGATAAAAATGACCCTTCTCAATTCCTAACCGAACGATGATCAGAGGACCGTATTGTCAATCCATCCCGCTATAGTGAGGGATGCGCTTATCAGCGATATGACACAAATCAGTGTTCAAAAGCCAATAAGTTGAATGCGAAATTTACAAGTGTCGCAGCAGCGAGTGCCCCAAATGGGAGGGAAAGATGGGAGGGGAAGATCGCTCTCTGATTTAGGAAGGCACGCCTGAGCAATAAGAAACGAATTACTCGACTTCATCGGTTCATACTTCTTCTTTGTCTACTCGAACATAGCTCTATGAATCCTGTACTTCCTTGATGCCAACGATAAAATGACCAGAACGTTATGATCCTGGAGTTGCAGTTTCAGTACTATGAATCGGACCCTTACTCAGTTACTCGTTCATACCTAGAATGCGGAAAGACACTGGCATATGGGATCAAATAGGACGACTACTATGCCCTACAATTTGAATGAAGAGCAACGGTATCAGCGAAGGTTGTCGAGAACAAAAATGGGTGTTATTAACTGACCGAAACGCACTAATATTCCCAGTTCACACAATCGCAAAGGTGTCAGACAAGGGAGATGCCGCCGGAAAAAAAATGACGTGAAAAAAATCTCCGAGTGCGATACCGATGAAGTTTGGTCTCCTCAGTCTGTTGATGCACGAGTTCATCGCGTACGAACGAGGGTACCTAGGGGATGTACACACCCGTCCTGAAAAGAACTGAGCGAGCGCCGTACAGGAGAAATGGGGACTTGCTTTAGCTGGGAAGTGTCATTTCCTATAGACGATGCAGTTGAGCTCGAGCAATACTACGAGATCCGGACGGTGGTGCTTCTGGAATCAGGACCCAAGTGCTAATCGAAACCGCCAAAAAATACTAAGCAGCCGACTGCCCGACAGTAGGTCGGTGGAATTTGGCGAGTAATCAGTAGTACGAGATCCAAGACTCCAAAGGTTGGTGAGCCATGGCCTTTCTATTGTAGTCAACTATTGTCCAACATTGTTGCAGGTGAGGTGGCCAAAACGCGATATATTAAGTTTTCTCGCCTGAGGAGAAAAAATCGATCCTTTGGGCCGAAACACCAGGGAGAGTTGCAGAAGAAGTTTGGCTTGAATTAGCGAGCGGAGTTGCGACCACCCTGACACTAGGGTCCAAAGTCACTTTGATTTCAAGCTTGTGGACCAAACAAAAAGCTGGCGCCCACAAATCGCCCACCAACCGCCGCGATCGTCCTTCAAAAACTGAAAACCAGATAGCTCAACTTTAACCACTCAAGCGTAACGCAAGAGGGCTCCTCGCAATCAAATTTCTCGAATTGTTGATCTTGAAGAACGGTGGAAACGGCTTCGATACCCATTGTCGCACCCATGGATCCCTCGCAAATTGGAGTCGCCTATGATGAATTGTGTCGCCTACGAGGGCATGCAAGACAGCTTGGTCGCACTTCATGTTAGCTTGGTCACAGCTCAGCATTGCCGATTTCTGCATTGGCAAAGGCAAGAACTGGACGACACGACGGTGAAAAATCGCTGTTCTCCCGCCAACAACGGTGCTGGGTATCTTCATGGTTTCTGCATCTTGACAGTATTTCTTCTTATGTTGGATCATTCGGTTTGACATTCTTCACATCTGGATGCACGGAAATTTGTGGGGATTTGAGGCAGCTTACGATGCATGTGGGGGGCACTGAGCCGAATTATAGTCACTGGTGAGTGTCTTGTTCACTCCAACCATGCTTTGTTTCTGGGGCATATTACTACTGGAGTGGCAGTGGTGGCCACCTGTCGATGTTGATGGAGGCGGTTGCGTCAGTTGAGAGTTTTGGGCGGTTTTGATGCAGCCACAGTCACCATCTTGACTCATACCAATGCTGCTTGAGACATCTTGCGAGCTTGAGAGCACACTGCTGAGTCGCTTTCATGTGTTATGGTGGCGGTTGCGAACTTGCCTTGGCTCGTGCACGCGAATTAGCGTGACGCCCCTTTTTGTGTCACGCCGCTTGTCATACCAACATGTCACGCTGTACTCACTGAGGGAGTAGCTCGCTATTGCGGTTTTTTTTTGGAATGTCCAGGGGATGCAGTTGCTCAGGATGGTTTATCAGCCCATTGTTGGAGATATAATGTGTAACATACAACAGAGAGTTCCAGAGTCCACGCACTCGAGCCTCGTGTGTACTGACTCTTTTCCAGGGCAGGGACGGGTCTGGCTTGTGCAGCATTCTTATGACGCTCTAAGCAGCACATAAAAGGTCGAACAGGTCGCCGAATCCTATCATGAAACTCGAACATACAGGCATCCGACACGTTGAGTGTCATGCATGTTGCTTCCTTCGACGTGGTCCGTAGGTTTGACGGAGCAATCTGGGACCCAATCATGGTGATGCTGTCCCTCCTCGCCGTCTTGTGTCTTTCGTTTTGCCCTATCGATGGCCTGTTCTGGATTGGGGTCGCCCATGAAGATGTTAAAGAGAATTGCTTCCGCGGAAGCAAAATATCTCGAGATTCACAAGTGCCACACTGGGATAGGCGCTCACCAGGTATTCGGCACTGACTCAGCCCTGTCGAGATTGTGAATTGGGGATATTAACTCAACCCTGTCGGAATTGCGAATTTGGGGTCCTGAATTCTAGTCCCCGTCTCTCAATTTATTTATTTTCGCTTTCCTTCCTTCGAGCTCTCGTTGGTATTTAAACCCTAATGTCTTCTCGCAGGATACACGACATTCCTTTCCCTTCGTTCTCCCTTGTAATGAGCCAGTCTTCGACGAGCAACATGAGGTTGCCCAGCTACAGGACTTCTTACTTGCTTCGCTTCCACCCTTACCCGAGGGTAAAGCCGAGCCAACGTGAGAGCCTGATGGTGAGCCATCAAAGCTCATTGGATAGCTATTTTTCACATTTTGTTATCAAGAACACTGTAGATGATCGCCTCAGCAATCAGTACGATGTTGTTGATGAAGACAACAGTGCTAGACCGGTGATTCTTGACTTCGTACGCATTTGCTTACATCTTCTTGTACCCTGACTTACTCTCAAAATGCAGTCTGATGTCCATGAGGAGCAGCATCCTAATGTTGAGAACCTGCAGGAAGCTGTCGAAGTTGCCGAGGCCGGCGTCAAACCTCGCGTCAGGCGCCTCAGCTTGACCACTTTGATCATTGTACGTTTGCTAGCCTTGCTTTGTCATTGATGGCGTCCATTCTCTCACGCGTTACGCCGGCAGGACCTTGCATTGCTAGTGGCCAGAAAGCTGGCTTTGAAAGCCAGGTAGTTGGCCTTCAAAACTAGGTAGTTGGCCATAGCAGCACAGACGCCAGTATTCGATATTGAGAAAAACCAGGCGGCGATCCCTAACAAGCTGTTTCCAGTGTATTAATTCCGGTCATGCTGTCGATCGTCTTTCAACTTGTATATCGCCACGCTATCATTTGTATCATACTATCGTTACTCCTTCAGTTATTTCAACGTCCTTTACATCCATCTATCCCTCTAATCATCTCACATACACACGATACATGTGATATATATATTCCCCTGAAAACTGTAAACCAGATCGCTTGCTTAACGACCATGACGGCGTCATGTAGACGACGTTCCACTGCGATGAGCTGTTCGTGTCTGTGCATTGGAGCACCCCCTCGAAGATGTTATACCGTTCGCCACCAAACGTAACGGATCGACTGAGAACCTTCCATGTCACTTCCTGAAATATTTTTAAACCCGAAGTGTGATTCGTCCAAGTCGTTTGATCCAGGCTCTAAACAGCGTCAACGACCATGTTTGAGAAAAATGTTTTTTTCCGAATGTATCAATTTTGATGACATTGACGTCGCCACGCATTTGAGTAGAAGAGATCGGAATGCCTGAAGAAGTGTTAGCCTGAGGGACTGTTGTTCAGAGCGTTTAAGATTCAACCATACTTCCATATGGGAGATCCCCTAGTAGCAAGATTCAGATATCCAGAAACATGTACAATTTGTCCTGCATATGCTGTACACGTCATCGATGGCAGCCTGTGGTTCCTCTTCCTCTCTCGAAATCAGTGCTGACCAGTCGAACATCCGGAGCAAGGCAATGGCGTCGACAGAATCGGATGGATAAAGTAAACACCTGTGGATATTTGGTGTGAGTGATCGCTCAGGACTCAGTCTCGCAAAGAAGACTGAGGAAAGGTGACAGTAAAATGAGTGGGCACGTACTGGACGTCAAATGCCGGAAACCCGACAAGTCCACGCCAGTGGTCACTGGTAAGGCCTTGAGGAACAACATCCTAACTCGGATCTTCATTCGTCTGCAAGAGCTATGGGCCTATGGCCTGTTTGGTCGATGGATATGCGCGCAAGGGATAGGGAACCATCATGCAATAACAAATAAGGGCGCTTAGCGCAGTGGTAGCGCGTATGCTTTGCACGAGCATCCGAATTGTATAAGGTCCAGGGTTCAATCCCCTGAGCGTCCATTTTTCGTTAGATCTAACCCCAACTCACTTATTCCTGTTTTGCGGGTGGCGCGGATTCGAAACCTGCCCACCAATAATTTTGCGTCATATCACACCTTGTCATTCACTAGTGCACTCATGGACAGTACTGTTCTTTGGAGGCTCATCTCAACTCTTGACCAAAGTGGTTACCACAACAGAATAGTGTTCTGTTTCTCTTATAAGAAGTACTGGCCAAGTTCGAAACCTACTACAAGGTCTTTTTTTCTATTGGAACACCTTGACATTGGCTCATGGATCGATAGTTTCCTCGGAGGCTCATCTTAGCTGGTCTTAGCCAATTAGTTACGACAACAGAATCAAAATCTGTTTCTCTTGGACTGTGCAGGTTTCAAACCTGCAAACATGAGGTTTTTTCTCTCTCGGAACGCACCTTGACATTTACTCATGGATGGTTTCGTCGGAGGGTCATCTAACTGGTCTTAGCCAAGTGGTTACCACAACAGAGTCAAAATGTGTGTCTCTTGGAGTTGGTTCGAAACCTACTGACAACATTTTTGCGATGGATAGATCCTCGAAGGTCCATCTTAACTAGGCCCAGTCATTGCCCAGAAACCTCCTTTTTATGTGATAGTCTGTCCATGAAAAGGAATTCACCTTCACACTTCGTGAGGGTCGTCTCATGGACACATCCTTGAGATGCGTACGTGCCAACCTATATTCACGGCAGACTGACCAAAACTGGATTACCACCAAACGCAAACGAAAAATGTTTCATGAGGCCGGAGACCAGAAGAACTTGAATGCACGCGAGCTAAGGATAGAGTGAGTTTGACAGTCAGAAAAATGATGTAACCTCCCTACCTTTAGCTTTCAAGTCATCCTCACCGGTCGCATTGGAAGAACCAACGACCGAAGGAGTGTCCATCGATGAAGCCCTTCAAGACTGGAAGAATTGAAAGTGGCAGACTGAGAGGTCAACGCGAAACTCTAGAACACCCCATAACGAAAAGTTGACACAATACAGGAGTAGCCCACCGAGACTGTATAATGAAAACAGGGGCTCGGCGATTAAGCATGTTGAAGGAGTGGCACTAGCCGGCAAACTGTGTTTGATTGAAAGCAAACGCGAAAACAAGATAGCATAAGAGTACATGACAGACGGTCATTCCTACAACTTGAAGTACAATGGAAACGAAAGAGAATGCAATATAAAGAACCGTGAAATCGTACCAGATGAAAGGAATACAGCACGAACTACACACCGATATGAATGAAAACCATCCTCTGCTCGAGGGGCACTTTTGTCTTCACCGCGTGTGTAGCACAGTTGAGTGCCCAAGCCGCCTTTGTACAGTCCATGGTGCCATCCTTCGAATCTTTGAACATGTTCTCGTAGAACGCTTCGACAACGTGTTTTGCGACAGCGTCGTCGACTTCCCACAGCGTACCAATGACACTCTTGAACCCCGAAAATTGGAGACCAGCTGCGAGGTGAATGACTTCGTCGGGCGTCTCCTTATCGCCGACGGCGGTATGACACGCCGACAAGAATGCGAACTCGGCATGCGAAATATCTCTCTTCATAATATCAAGCAGCGTCAGATGATCATCTCTCATGACGAAATGGGAATTGTAAGGCTGCGTAGGGTCTTGCTTGCCATGACAAGCAAGGTGCACCCAGGTGTTCTCTTGCAAAGCTTCGAGTGCACCTGCTCGCGTGGCTGCGTCGCCAGAAATAGTGGTACGCTTGGCCGTCGCAGGGACAAGCTTCCGTACAAGCTCGAGCTCGCTGTCAACAGCCAAGAGCGCCTTGCCTTTCCTTGCACCCGGTTGACCTTGTCCGATCGCCACAAAGGACGGAGGCATACATTGTTTCATCATCCGTCTAGATCTGATCAGAGCAGAAAGTGTCGGTGTGTAAGAACAGATATAGAGATCCTCCAGACATGGCTCCTTCCCAGAGCGATCTTCCTTTGTTAGAAAGGGATTAGCTGCATGGAGAGGAATAGACGTGAAAGCTGCAGTTGGACACAGCCAGATTCGAGAGCGGCGCTTTAGTTTAAGGACGTGCTCGAGTATGTTGACGATGGGTAGCATGATCTCGTCCCATGTTATCCGCAAGAGTACTATTAGATCCATCCTCGAATCTTTTGGGTTCATCCGAGATGCTTGTCGTATTGCCCTGGTGAAGCGATCCTTGAGAGTCTGCAGATCGGTGAGAGCGATAGATGGTAAAGGAACATGATGGGGCTCTCCTGATGTCGGTAGAATGATGGCGCTGCACGAATATTCACTAGCAACGAGGATGATGACCGGGCCCCGGCGGGCTGCTGCTTGCAAGTCTGCATACAACGGCGGAAGCAAGAATCGCGAGAACGCTTGAAGATTACGTATCTCAGCTACCGCAGCTTCCCATTGCCTTGTAAGTCTCATATACTCTGTTGTTGCCCGATCGGTAGCAGCTCTGTCTGTACTACCTGCGGAATACTGAGCATCTGAAAGGTGTTTGCTGAGCTCCGAGAATGTGTGAGCTAGGTAAGAATTCGTCGACTCGAGGTCTTCAAGTGGACTCCGTAGGCGAGAGGCCAAGGACCATTGTTGGCCACGACCCTGCTCCACGAGTTCGACTGCGCGTCGTAGATCGTCACGACGGATGGCACATGATGCTGCATCTACAGGCAGCGATCTGGCACTACTAAATGCAGCGGCAGCTTCGCGTCGTGAAATTGTCGATGATCGCGTTGCCAGATGACCATCAAGAAGGTCGAAACAAGTGTTGTAGGCCTCCAGCGCAGATGTATGATTGTACCGCTCTGCTGCGGCGACCCAGTTCCGGGCTGTTATGATGCGGTATGGTAAGCCCTGAGTAGGGTGTCTCGATGCCAATCTGAAGTTCTCCATAGCGAGTGACAGATCGACATGGTTGTGTCGCACTTGGTAACGAGACAGATAGGTTTCCTGCAGCCGCATGTAGTTGAGATACATGTCAGGGTGCAGAGAAGGCAAAGCCGCTAATGATTCTTGGCACAGATTAATGGCCTCCTCAATATCTTCATCCGTCCGAGTTTGCGTGAAACGAGAGCAGAGCGCCGAGCTCAAATTTCGAAGATTTATATGGCGCTCTGGATGGTCATGTCGCCTTATTTGAATGGATTCGCGAAACAGATCGATTGCCTCGTTAAGATCCTCCTTGACATGCAACTCTCCATATCTGGTTTTGAGCGCGAGCGCGAGGTTGTTAAGCACGGTGTCACGACGGAGATCCCAAGGTGGACACGACGTCAGTGCCTCGCGATGGAAGCTGATGGCTTTGTCGATGTCATCGATATCATGGTGTTTGTTGAAACGGGCGAGGAGGGCGACCCCTAGGTTGTCCAATGAGACGTCACGAGATATGTGCCCAACAGGACGCAGGCGCAGCGCTTCTTCGTGCAAAGAAATGGCCTCATTAAGGTCATTAAGTTTGCCTTGGTGAATGAAGCGATAGTGACCAAGTGAAACGGCCAAGTTATTCAAGTAGTCGTGGCGGTCAGGATGTCCCTCGGGGCACAGAGACACGGCTTCACGACGAAATTGTATGCTCTCGTCTAAATCATCAATGTTGCCGCGCTGTGTAAAGCGTGATCTGAGAGCCCATGAAAGTTTGTCAAGTACTTTTGGACGGTGTTGTTGGCCCACATGGCAGAGCTCGAGCACGTTTCGTCGAAGGTAGATGCCTTCATTAGATGCGTCTATTGGAAGATCGTTGCATTCGCCGATAGCATAGTTGACTGCATTGTCTACGCCGATTCTACGAAAGTAGGTGCCCTCTGAACAGAGGGGCAGGAGCTTGCAGCACAGTTCTGCGAATTCGTGGATGTAGACGGCGGTAGGCTCCTTACTGTTGCGCCATATCAATGCTCTAATGAGATTATAGAGGGCTAATGGGTGATCGGGGTGACCCTGCGGACGTAATGCAAGGACCTCGCGGAAGAGGGAAGTGGTGAAGTCGATGCCTTGAAGATCATTGCAAATATACCCTTGAAGGCGCGCATACGCGAGGTTAGTGAGAGCCATTGCGTGGTCAGGGCCGTCGATTGGACACTGGTTTAGAACCAACTGAAAATGCTCTACAGCATCATTCAGGTGAGAGACTGTCTTGCTCGTCACGTATTCGGCAAATCGTGCGTGGCCCGCATCTGTGTCTCGAGTAATCTCGCAGTCTACGAGGGACTAATACAGTTGGCGTTCCGTCAGCAAAAGCTAACAGCGGAGACCAGCGTCACTCACATCAGACAGTGCGCTGTCCTGATTGTCGCAAGTTTGTACAATAGCGGCATTCAGCGTGAGGGAAGGGTGTACATTATAAACAGGTGGGAAAGAGATATCTACACGATGGTTAGTATATGTGCATGGATGAGGAGCAAACGTTTACTTACCGAAAGTTTCATCTCCATGATCGAGTAGCTCATCCCACAACATTTAAATTTTCCCAATGACTTCTCCACTGCCTAGCATTCGACCGACCTCATAGGACGCCTTGATCTCCATTGATAATGTAGGTGACCCGTGTGTCGATCTACCGATGATCAGCTTTTGAATGGTGTCCAAAAGTCTCCATGGACTTTACAGGGTCACAGTATCACCCCACACTACAGATGCTTCAGATGATAGGGCCCTGATAGCTGATTTCCAGCGTCTTTTCGAGTCGATATTGATGCATACATAAATGCCAGCAGGCATGCACCGGGAGGGGACTTGAATATTCTTTCCGCTGATGACTTTAGATAGAGGGTAAGGAGTACGAACGAATACGAAGGCAACTCACCTTTAATTCTGATATATTGACGTTCTAAGCTACCAGGCACTGGCATGATGATGCGACGAAGAAAAATGACCAGGATCGAGAACGGGTTGAATAGTGGGTAGAATGAGTCGTAGGAGACGAGAGTGAAGATATGGGAACTATGAATGGCGTTCAGTTGTGGGAGAGGACAAGCGGTTAAGGTTCATGTCATGTTGCGTTATCGATGACTGTTCGGCACGACTAGTGGATGGTATGATTACACTAGGAGCCGATAAAGATGGCTGACGGCATCAGTGTTAGGGGGAGGTCCTGTGCAGACAATGTCAATGGCAGTCATCAGCGGTAGCGCGCTAAGGTTGAAGGGGACATGCGAGTCTTAGAGTGTCCTGTGATGGTCGATACTCCTGGACTTTTATCACCGAGTCGAACTACTCATTTAGCACACCAAGGTAAAATGTAGAATCCAGTGTGTTTCCTAAGGTAATGGCAAATGCAAACAGCTAAAATGGCGTGCATAGAAGAGCCAAACGCTTCTATAGACTCGTCCGATTGAGCATTGTGGAAACGCTGCAGCTGGGGACGGTTCGCGAATGTACAAGTCGGATTGATGCAACATCCTGCACAGGCTGACTAAGCGAACCTTCGCTAGTTAAACCCCCCAATAGGGGGGTGCCCTGCAACATGATTCTTGTCAATTAAATGCCTTGGCGGCTCTTGGCGGGACCCACACTTCTGTCTCAATCTGTGCCTTGGAGAGGACTCATCTCTATGCAAGCTAGTCATAATGAGGATTATGGTTATGTTGCATGTCATCGCTCTCTAGATCTCGTTGCACGCCGCTCCTGGCGCCTCGCCCACACTCAATTTAAGAAATTTGCGTATTGATTTCCCCTTGACAAGCGAGTAAAATTCTCATCTAGTACCTGTATGAAATTCTGGTTATAGGACGACCACACGTGGGCAGGCGATAAGTAGGATAACTGAGTCTGACAACAGTTGTCCGTGGTATAGAAATAGAAATGCGATAGGATGATCAATAGTACTTACGGCACCTGGAGTCTAGATGAGCCCCGTACATTGTTTCGCTTAATCGCGGCGGTACATACCCGAACCGCAGTTTGATGTTTTTCATTTTCTCGACAATAGGAAAAATGCCTCAACAACTTCTCCTGTCGGTAAACCTATTGGCTATTGAAAGTATAAGTGAGTGCATGCTTAAGAAGTAAAGTAAGGTCCATATGCGACCAAAAATGCGTACATAAGAGAGAGTGAATGGTCATGCTGATTGAAAGGTACTGGATTTAAAATGAATGCAGGGCACAGACGATCGCGGTATAGACGGAGGAGAACCGTCCTCTGGGAGTCGCAGAAATGCGGCATGTTCCTGGAGAAGCCGTATGTGGAAGTATGTGCGGAAATGGAATATGCGAGTGTGTGAAGGTGAACTACTACCAGGCAGCCAGACTACCATAACCTGATGCTGAATAGTATACAGGCCAGGGCGATACCACATATGAGTGAGATGTTTCTGGTCCCGGGATTCGAATCTAAGTGTTTCGAATCTAAACTCATCAGTTAGCCATTGTAACAAACAGGAACGAAGTGAAGCATTTACCAGGGGAATGGAATATTAAGGGGGGAGTGAGCTTCATATTCCGAGGATGTAGCCTTGAATGTGATACAAAGTCACGGTGCCGGTTAAGCTCCAGGGCGAGCCGGAGCGTGCATAATATCTCATCATCCGAGGGGCCTTCAGAGGGTCTTTCAGAGATAGGAATGATACAAAGCTCGTCTTCCAGCTTCCATACTACCCTCGTCTTTGAAGGAGCAACGCAGCATTGAAAGTGTCGCAGGACATTTGAGACTAAAGCATCAATCTCCTTGGCACCGGCACGCGATGTTGCCATCGCCTCTATGTCACGCGTATAAGGCGAGGGTGAGGTGGTTGACAGATATGTTACGGCAACGTGACGCAAGTGAAATATGAAGTAGGGCGGCGGATCAGAGTCAGCCATCGGGGAGCGGATTTTGGCGTCGACGCATGCATCGGAATCCCGCCGATCACGCGCACGAGCGATCTCTGGCCGCTGGTGCCCTCCAATTTTCGCGCACCAACAACCGCCAGTGACCTTTATTTCAGGCCAGTCTGACACGTTTTGACCGTAGACGTGAAAATTATAGGTTTTGCAACGATCACAAAGGTCGACGAGGGCCGTCTGTAAGCTGTGGTTGAGTGATTCAAGTAAGGAGGCGGAAAGCGTGAGATGCAGATGGGTGAGAATACGACAGCGGATCTCGACTGGTAGTAGGAGAGGTAGACAGGACATTGCAGTGAATTGTGGAGATACATATGCAAGGACAGCATGTATGAGTGTCAGTCGAGTGACTCGCAAGCAAGTGGGACTTGAAGGGGACTCCATGGGAGATGAAGTCATGCAAGTGGTAGCGGATGAATATAAATCCAAATCCAGGGGAATGATATTTATGTTTGCGAATTGAAATACGGTGTCCGGTGTGCGGATATAAAGCCTCGAGGAAGTGACATGACTCAGTATTTGAATGGACGGAAAACAAATAACCAACGAAAGCATCAAGATGCGACGTCGTAGAAGCACCACCCATGCGTCACAAGACACTGCAGTAGTTCCCACCCAGACACGGTGTTTTGAACTAGATTTAGACACATGATGTGCCAGTCAGAGGGAGAGCAAGGAGGAACCACCACTTGCAATCATACTTCGGGTGAAAGGGATTCGAAGACATAGATCAGCAACTAGCTATAGGTCTTCTCTCTATCAAACTGTCTATATCATGAAGGCCGGGGGAGACCTGACAACCACCAACCTGCAGGAACCAAAACACTCGGAAAAGCCTTAAAAGCGGCACTTTTGGGGCACTTCTCAACCGACTTTTCTAGATTGGCATGACGAGTGGAGATTAAAACCAGCTTCTGTTGTAGTGAGTCGGTTGTCTAGTAGAGTGATGGAAGTTCCTTCAGAGAATTAGAGATATCCGAGAATAACTTGAACCCCACTGGTCCCAGCAAGCCGCCGCAGTCACACTGTGCGCTCTAGGCCGATACATCCCCATTCGTAACCCTAACCTCAATCTAGGTTTCGGTCTCCCGAACACAACGGCCAGCGCTTAACTAGTAGCAGACGGTGTTCTCACCATCTCACGACACCATCCGTTACAATGATTCTCCCTCGACCGACAGGTAGAGTGCCTAGGTTTGGGACCTTGACACGTCCGATGTCTTCGGTTCCTACCCTGCCACTTCACCCGCCATCATTAGCTGAGCAAAGCGCTACCTTCGATGCTCGCGTTCAGGACGTCTCCGCTTTCTTTTCCTCGCCTCGATTCGCTTCTATCACCCGTCCCTATACCGCTCATGATGTAGCGCTAAAGCAGGGTTCCGCGCCTGTTCTTCCCCTGCCATCGACGCTCCTTGCTAACAAGCTCTTCGCCTTGTTCACCGAGGCAGCTTCTAAAGGTCAACCTGTGCCTACCATGGGTGCTATTGACCCCGTTCAAATGACCCAAATGGCAAGGCACCAACAGGTCGTATACGTTTCTGGTTGGGCTGCAAGTTCGCTGCTAACTACGGGCAACAATGAAGTTGGTCCTGATTTCGGGTAATGACGTGCCGGATCATATGCGTGTTCGCGCCCTTCTCATCTACATCATATCAGAGATTACCCTTATACAACTGTACCAAACCAGGTTCACCGTCTCTTCCGTGCACAGCAACTTCATGACAGGAAGCATTACGATGAACGTATGTCCGCATTGCTAGAAAAGCGTGCAGAAATTTCATATATCGACTATTTACGACCAATTATCGCGGACGCTGATACTGGGTGAAGACCGTACCTTACTTAGTCTTCATTTGTAACTCACAACGTCTTAGCCATGGAGGGACCTCTGCCGTCATGAAACTCACCAAACTCTTTGCCGAGTCAGGTGCCTCAGCCATACATTTCGAAGACCAACTCCACGGCGGAAAGAAATGCGGACACCTTGCAGGGAAAGTTGTTGTTCCTCCAAGCACACATGTATCACGGCTTGTTGCGGCCCGTTTCCAACTTGACATGCTTCTATCTCCGATGTTGCTCATTGGCCGCACTGATGCTGAAAGTGGCAAACTCCTTTCTACCAGCATTGATCCTGTTGATCACCCGTAAGTCCTAATTATAGAACTTGATGTCGATCTGAAATACGTTTAGATATATCCTCGGTACCACGACGCAAGGAAAGCCCCTCAGTGAAGCTCTTGCGCGAGCCACAAGCAGTGCGGATGCAGCCAGAATTGAGAATGAATGGGATACACTGAACGAGTTGATCACTTTCGATCAAGGCATGTATTCCTTAGCGTCTTCTGTTCACCACATTGAGCATGTGGCATAGCCGTCGAACGAGCGTTATTGTCTAGCAGTAGCTCGAACCCACGCGGTGTGTTCGAACAGTACAAGAAGGCAGTGGCCGGTAAATCAAACTTCGAAGCACGTCAGATTGCTCGGGAGGCTGTCGGTCAGGATATCAACTGGAACTGGGACCGTGAGTACAGTTGTCAATGCCTCGAGGTCTTCACTCACTTTTTGCAGTCTCACGCACACCCGAAGGCTTCTATCGAACTACTGGTGGCCTTCAGGCGGCCATTGACCGTGCCCTTGTGTATGCACCATACGCAGACCTGTTGTGGCTGGAAACCGGCAAGCCAGACTTAGCGGAGGCTAGAACTTTTGCGAGAAAGATCCGGGAGAAATACCCTGGCAAATGGTTTGTATACAATCTGAGCCCCAGCTTCAACTGGTCCCAAGCAGGGTTCAACGGTACGTCATTCCCCAATAGTAGCGATCTTTGTCTGAACGGCTTGAACAGATGCAGATCTCAAGAACTTTATATGGGAACTCGGAAAGGAAGGGTGGGATATATAGCATTTGATTTCAAATGCGACCGCCTCATTGATGAACCTAGATTTGTTTTGCAACTAATTTCACTTGCTGGGCTGCACAGTAATGCTGCTGCTACTGGTGCGTTTCCTCTTGAATGCTAACATCCCGCTGCTTACCGGATGTCCACCCAGCTGAGCTCGCTGCACGATTCAAGGATGACGGTATGCTTGCTTATGTGGAACTTGTACAACGCAAGGAGAAGGAAATCGGCTGCGATGTTCTCACCCATCAGAAGTGGTTTGTGTTCTTTTCCAAATTCTGCTCCCGATGTGTTGTCAACTTCTATGATACAGGAGCGGTGCCAATTACCTTGATTCGATAATTCAGACCGTATCTGCGGGATCATCAAGCACGTCTGCTATTGGGAAGGACTCGACGGAACATAATTTTTGATCCTTGATGGTAGAGTATGGGCATATATACCTGTAACCCGACTCAAAGGAGTATTCACGTCTAGTTTCAATTGCACATATGCTGTTTGTGGATAACCTAGACTGCTTCCGGCTTGATGCTTTCAGTAACTCTGTTGGTCGCGGCTCATCAATAACGATTGTTATCAGTCGCTCGAGGAGGCTGGCTGGCGAATGCCATACTAGTCTATTCCGGTGTCGCGTCATTTCGTCACAAAATCACCTATGCCGCATCAGAGGGCGACAGTGCCAAAGTTGGCAATGCATTTGTAGACGAACAACCGATGTCTCACAGTAAGCATGCTGGCTTACCCGAGTTCACATAATCGGCTGATACTGTTTTCAGTACCTTTCGGTGTAACAGTCACGCGAGTGGAGGTTGATCTCCTTACACTTGCCTTGATTCAGCTTAGCTGCTCTGTACATATCTCGCTTCACCCTGAATGGCCTGTTCGCACCCGACCAATGATTGTCTAAGATGATTTGAGTCAATCTCTGTACACGTCCAAAAATACCCTCGGGAGTCCATCATGAAGTTCTAATCCTACTCTCTATGGGTCTCAAGAAGTCATGGAGTATCATCGGTCCGCGATCAATTATCTCTAATTGTGCAGACAGAAGGATATATGCTAACTGGACTTGCGAAAGAAGTTACCAAACGCAGAGATGTCTCTACATGTGGCACTCCCGTAGCCCCATACCAGCCCCAAAGAATCAAGAGTGATCTTCGATTACATGTCAACGTCGTTTATGCTTGAAGAGATCACGCGGGATGCAAGTCGGTGATGTGACGTCTTATATAGGCCTTGGCCACCACATGATACCACTCTGATGAATGTTCCAGACAAATACTGATGTAACACGCTTGAAAGATACTGCAAATCGTTACTACTTACCTGAATGTACACAGCCCAGCCTCGAACTTTGCAAAGAACTACGTAAAAGGGTTCTCGGGCATGAAACATCAAAGGACATCCATAAGCGACCTTGGACCCTGCAGCTGCTCTTATGCAATGAGTGACCATCAGGACAACGCACGCCAAGTCTCGATGCCGTCTACTCTGAGTCGCAGGTTATACATATTTGCCTGAACATATCTTGCAACGATGATGATCCCGTTGGAGTTGAGATGGAGAACAGTGCCCCTGATATGGTGTACCTATCCAGCGTGTCACGGTCACCTCAGATATCGTTGATGATGCTAATGGATTTGGTGGTTACCACAAAGTCGTCTATAAGAACGATGTACTCACGCAGGCAAACTGTGTTGGGCTGCCTTGAAAGCCGCTTGCAGAGATGTGTTCCCATTGAACTTTAGTGACGAAGTGAAAGAGATGAGCAAGTTGCAGCATTTCCAGATGGCCAGGCTGCTAGTCAGCGGATTGGCTTCTGGGAAACATTAAATGGAGCATGGCCAGTCAACACAAAGTCATCGTGTGACCGTTGGTCTGCTAATCTGTGAAGATCGGGCTTTCAGCTACAAGTATCATGGATCATGGATGCCTGCATGACATTCGTGATCATGTAAACGTACGGTTCTTGCCATTATGCATTGCTTAGCATGTATCTATGTCAGACTGTCCAGTTCGTGATTTCCCCCGAGTGAATCCAGTTGTATGCAATGAAAGCAATAATAAGATATGGTCATGAAGCAAAGCGACGATATGTAATGTAAAGATGATGGGAAAGCAAAAAGCAAGAGGAATGACGCTTCGGTTGCAACAGTGAGTCCAAAGGCAAACCATACCGTCCAAGAACGAATATTAATCTTGATCAAGTGTCTGGTAGGGATAAGACAAGTTCGGGTATAGTCGGGGCGAGGCGGATACTAGCTCGTACTGTGCCGATTCAAAACTGCCATCTACTTTGGAATGGCGAGGCGTAGACTGCAGGGAGAGAGCAGGAGATACAGAACCTGGAGGAGGTAGAGGTGAAGATGTCTGCGAGTGCCTAGATGGGAGGGCAACATCTTGAAATGACGTCGAAAGACTCGATGAGGCTCCCATTTTAGATCGTCCAACAGACTTTCTTCGCTCAAAAATGCCACTGCCTGTTCGGGCGTGATTTGAAGGCAGATATTGTTCAGCAAGTTTCGGAGTTGGAGGTATCCCAGCATCCAAGATGCTCGGCCTCCGAGGCTTTATGGTCTCGTTAGACACAGGTCTTTCGGTATCTCGTCTTGGTTCTGAAGGAGCACTAGAAGAGGCTGTGGAACCTGATACTGATTTCCAGGTCTTGAGAATCGATTTACGGACACTCGTCTTCTCTGACGAAGGAGTTGTCGGAGACGATGGTCGTGTGGGTGTTCGTGGCATAGTCGTCGCAGGCATAGGAGAAAATCCTCTTTGCGGCGGTTGGGGCGGCCCGAGTTGATCATGAAACGATTGGGTAGGCGGTGCAGATCCCTGAAACGAAGTTTGTCCAGCGTTTGGCGTGGGAGGTTGCTGAGCCGACACCGACGCAGACTTGCTTCTACGCCAAAGTTTCTTGAAGGTCTTGACGCTGACTAGAGGAGTAGAGGTTTTTGCAGCCGCAGCATCCATCGAAAAACTTGCTGAGTCAGCAGAGAACCGGCTGGAGGGTGTTGTGGAAGCAACAGAACCCTCATCCACAGATGACAAAGATGGTCTGGATTCAATAGGAATACTGG